TATATATAATTCTATTGCTCTCTCTGTGTATTGGATAAGTTTTATATAGTATATCTACAGGGGGTGGCGAAAAAATGAGACACTTCAGCAGTGAGCACATTAATCGAATCTTTTTTCGTTCCCCCAGGAGCCGCACGGTAAAGAAAAGTTTTATGCGGGATATTCTTAGGTTGTTCCCGTAAGCAAGCAAGGCCGCCCGCCCTTACTTCACTGACACAGCCGCCTCCTTTTCAAAGATAATGAAGTTCATCTGCAGTCTTCCGCGAGCTTCAAAACAATTCCGGTAAATCGCTTTTCCGACCCTGACGCTTGCTAGTAATGCCCTTCAATGGGATTACTGTTTGGATCGCTTTTCCAGAGACGTCACCGCTGTGGACCGTAACGACAAAACTGGCTTATTTGCAAGCGTTTTCAGGAGCGTCGTAAACCATCCTAATGGTTATCTCACGACCCCGGTTGAGCTTTTGTACTGTGCACAATGCTGGCGTTTCTGAGAAGCTTCGTGCAATCCGTCGGTGGTAATGAACCTTTTGTGTAAACTTGCTGATTAATTACAAAAGTGCTCTTGAATAATTAATCAAACTTGGAATTATTTGGGTTTTGGCTTTATGCAACGCGTAAAAAATAATTCCATTTTGAAATGTGGGGATGAAAGGCCTCCCCTTTTTTTTTTTTTTTTGGCCCACCCTTGTATTTGTTGGATAGCAAACTATTAGATATGTAACTATACATACATATATATATACTATATATATATATGTACATATATGTATCGTCCGACCTTGATTTTTATTCCAATCAAAGCGTTACCCCTCAATAAACGTCAAAATGGAAGGGTCAGTTTGGTGTTGCAGTTGAAAAATCTGTGTGATCTTTCTGAGTTGCCCTTGTGATGCCATCTGGAACGATTCACATTTTCAGGCCACCCTTCTTTTCACTCTGTTTACTTCCACGAAGATTGCCTTCACTCCACAAGAGGACGACATTAGAGCAGGTTTGCCGAGGCATTCGTTTAGCGCAAGGGACTGCTCATGACTGCAAGCACATTACGACTCACGACACTTCGTCGAATCGTTTCCCATCAGCTCGCACCCGCGCGTTTCGCAAAAGTGGTACTCTACGTTTAACCATGTTGATGATTAGAACAAAATAGCAAGCCTGTGATAGAATTGATTTTATGACAGCATTTTTTCACAGGCGACCATTTCCCTGGAATGGGCAGCCTACGGTAGAGTTCACGCAAATCTTCTCGAAAATGAGGCTGGTGGGCTCGCAATTGCGCATTTGTTTCGCTTTCGCTTCAAATACGTAGTGTTACGATATTTAGGGAAGGGAGAGCCTACGGTAGAGTTCACGCAAATCTTCTCGAAAATGAGGCTGGTGGGCTCGCAATTGCGCATTTGTTTCGCTTTCGCTTCAAATACGTAGTGTTACGATATTTAGGGAAGGGAGAAAAGCTGATTGGCGGCGCGGACGCGAGTACGTACTGGTGAAGTGAAAACGACATCGCAGCTACGGCAGGCTCGAGTTCAAATAGTACTGGGCTTTCGGCACTGAACCGTCTGTTCAGTCAGTTGCGCCGCGAGCAAAATATTGTGTTACGCACAGCTACCATTCTCAATGATTAACACATTCACGTCAGTGGCAGCCCATATGACCTGCCAACGAATTGTGCTTTTTGGCGCGCTCAAATCTCGCTCAGCTTTGGGCGCGCCAAAAAGATCGTTCGAAAAGATTGTTTCTTAGGTAGTTTCTGCCTAATTTCTGACTTTAGCAATACACAAAATATAATTGCAGATTTGGCTTCCATATTATTTAGTATTAGTATTTAGTATACCAGATTGGTCCCCCGGCAACCACCGGGACCTCCTTACCTGCGTAAGCTTTACTCCTTCCAATGTGCTCCCATCCACTGGTGACATGGACACCTCGTGGAGGTGGCACGCATGCACAAAAAAGTGTCTTATATAGTAGAAGGCATTACCGTAATCGTGACATGACCTTAGAATGATATTAATTGGACCTCAGGTCTTTTGGCGGTTAGCTCCCCTCGCCCTTCTCCATCTTATCCTATTCCCTCTACTGCTCTCCAGCTGCTATTGCAGCATCATGTGGAATGAATGAGACCATGCTCAGTAGGTGTTTATATAGCCGTTGGGGTGTTATCACATTGATAGCACTGCAAAACATTGATTGCTAAAGTCATAGTTACTCGATTTTGTTAACGGTCTGTTTACTTCACGAGTTTCCCTACCACTTCATTTTGCGGACGACACACATACATACATACATACATACATACATACATACATACATACATACATACATACATACATACATACATACATACATACATACATACATACATACATACATACATACATACATACATACATACATACATACATACATACATACATACATACATACATACATACATACATACATACATACATACATACATACATACATACATACATACATACATACATACATACATACATACATACATACATACATACATACATACATACATACATACATACATACATACATACATACATACATACATACATACATACATACATACATACATACATACATACATACATACATACATACATACATACATACATACATACATACATACATACATACATACATACATACATACATACATACATACATACATACATACATACATACATACATACATACATACATACATACATACATACATACATACATACATACATACATACATACATACATACATACATACATACATACATACATACATACATACATACATACATACATATACATACATACATACATACATACATACATACATACATACATACATACATACATACATACATACATACATACATACATACATACATACATACATACATACATACATACATACATACATACATACATACATACATACATACATACATACATACATACATACATACATACATACATACATACATACATACATACATACATACATACATACATACATACATACATACATACATACATACATACATACATACATACATACATACATACATACATACATACATACATACATACATACATACATACATACATACATACATACATACATACATACATACATACATACATACATACATACATACATACATACATACATACATACATACATACATACATACATACATACATACATACATACATACATACATACATACATACATACATACATACATACATACATACATACATACATACATACATACATACATACATACATACATACATACATACATACATACATACATACATACATACATACATACATACATACATACATACATACATACATACATACATACATACATACATACATACATACATACATACATACATACATACATACATACATACATACATACATACATACATACATACATACATACATACATACATACATACATACATACATACATACATACATACATACATACATACATACATACATACATACATACATACATACATACATACATACATACATACATACATACATACATATACATACATACATACATACATACATACATACATACATACATACATACATACATACATACATACATACATACATACATACATACATACATACATACATACATACATACATACATACATACATACATACATACATACATACATACATACATACATACATACATACATACATACATACATACATACATACATACATACATACATACATACATACATACATACATACATACATACATACATACATACATACATACATACATACATACATACATACATACATACATACATACATACATACATACATACATACATACACACGCACACACATACAGACATACAAACCGACACACAAAGTTAGCGCTTTATAAAATAGAAGGATACATTGATAAGAGAGTTTGAAAGTTGTTTGTTAATGTTTGGAAGGGAAACTCGGCTATCAAATGAATGAAGGGTAAAATTCGAAAACTTCACATTTACAAAAAATTTTTTCATGCAATTCAGACTCCTCCTTGCGTGCAAAGACTACGAAAAGAAATAGAAGTATCACCCAGTAATTAGTCTCCATCTACACAATCCAAGTTAAAATGCCCCGAGCTAAAAGCCGCAAACAAAAAAATCCGTGTAAATTAGCTCTTATCAAATACTTCTGCAACCATGCTTTACATAGATGATTAAACATGCTAACGATTACTAGAATGTTAAAAATGTTCAATTGCGTGTATAGGAAATTGTTAAGGTGGTACCCACCATTGTCTCACGCGGCGCTCCGACTGGCACCCACCGGTGGGTGCCATTGTCGCCAAAGGGGTAATAGGAATCGTAATCTCGAAAAATGTTGAGTGGGGTTTCCATGTGAAAACCCCCAGGAAGAGACAGTCAAGTTGAACATGATTGAGCCGAGTCCGTTCTTCTAGTTCGATTCCTACAACTTCTTCTTAGCGAAGCAAAAGCACAATAGATGTTCGGATTACTTAATGTATTAAAAAATATCGGTGGCAGCTGGCTTGCCTGCTTCCTTGCCGCCGCTGTGACGTCACCAACACGCGAACGCGTCCGCGCCGCTGGCGAGCTTTTTCATGGAACCAGCTGTCAGATCATAAATTAGTGCACGCCCACACTTACGCTGCGTATCGCTCCACGGTATGGTCCACTATCACCGATTTTTTTGGACATCGCTGCCCTCCATTCCTGTTTTCGACGGTTTCCTTTTCCTTTTTCATCGGCGACGGGCCAATTTGCATTGCTTTTACATTCGAGCGGGGTAGCCACATTAATTTGATTAATGGTTGTGCGTCCTATATAATAACGACGCTCTGTTTCATGACTTGATGTGGTGAGTATCTCCAGGCAACAGCTCTTTGTGTGAAGACTTTTTCTCGATTGTGCTGTGGGGCATAGCAGCTCAAAGTTTCATGAAAAGCGGTCACTTTTGGCTACTAATTTCCCCAAAAGGCAGCCGATATGCGCATATTGCGAGCGAATACCTCGCCAAAATACCAATTTCAGGGTATACACCTCATGGGGCCCGATCTCGATCAGAAATTGCCGTCTACAGCGATTTCTTCGAATCAAAAGGCGATCCTGTAATGATATTCGCAATGGTGATTGCCAAGGATGGTGGTTCAATGGCACGTCTCGAGCACATGGAAGAGGCAGTGAAGCAACTTGAATTTGTCACCAACAATATAACCTACGACGGACAGTCGTTCACCACGCTATGCTCTGACTTTTGCCTCATCAATGAACCAATTCGGCAATTCTATGTAAGTCGTCATACTGCGTCAAAGCTACTCCATTTGGATTGTAAACAAAGTAAAATTACCATATCAATGATCCAGGGTTGCAGAAAAATGTTTTTTCATACTACGTAGCTTAGCGACCACTTCTTCATGAAAATGAAATTAAGCGCCTTCTCAAAGATAAATGTGCTACAACCATCATATACTGTAACGTTAACTGGAGGGGCGACAAAAGATGTGAAAATGAGAAAGCCTTCGATATGAGCAAGGCGCACACACCAAGATGTTGGCAACTCTGGATAGGTCTGAATAAATGGTGTAAGGTTTCGAATCGTGAGCCTATAGCGTCCCTGCCACGCATTGTGGGTAGCAAAAGTGGCACTATGTATTACTTCCGCGCTCGTGAACTCAGCTACACTGCGACGCATAATCTTAGTTCCACCTACAAATTTCCCAAAAACTAGAATTTGGAGATGTTTTTGAAAAGGGCTCTACAGACAAATTGTGACACATGCAAATGCGAATCTGAATATTATCACGGAAATCCAGTTTGAGAAAGCAAAAATTTTTTATCCTCATTTTTTCGAAAATACCCGACTTGCCTATGACGCAAAATCATAGTTCCACCACATGTTTCTCTGCTGCATTTTGCTTTTACCCAATCAAATTTTGAAATTATTACCCACTCAAGTCCTTAGCTTATAGCAAAGGCAAAACCGCTGTCGAACTTCCGTAAAAGGAAAACCCTAGCAAAAGAGACGCAGGAATTGTTGAAGTGTCAGCTCACGCTGGAATTTGTCGGGGTGACTTCATAACGAACAAATTTCTCAAGGATGCTACAGGATATGATTCTGGGAAGAACCCTGATTACTATCCGACCGAGATAAGCGCCGTATCGTGAGAAAATAATACGACTTTATCCAGACGGGTACGGAAATCAAAACTTCTTCAAAGTTAGTGTCTCAATGGAAGCAGTTTCACGTGTTTTACAACACGCTCGTGACAGTCCATGTCTGGAAGGATAAGAAATACGCTTTCAGTGAAAAGAAATCAGAGAGAAAAACGAGCCATTTTTCTCAAAAAGTTTTGCTAAGTAGAGCGAAGTGAGGACACTTTTTTATCTGTGATATTTTGGAACCTCTGACCATCCTCCTGATCATTTTCTTCTCCATACATGTGTGCTACGAAGTAGAAAACCGATCTGAGAAAGAAAAACGTTAAGAGAAAGAAAGACGCAAATCAAAAGTCGCAAATGAAAGAATGCCACCGCTTCACTCGAACTGGCTGAGCTTTCAAAGAAAAATGGCTCGTTTTTCTCTCTGATTTCTTCTCACTGAAAGCGTATTTCTTATCCTCCAGACATGGACTGTCACGAGCGTGTTGTAAAACACGTGAAACTGCTTCCATTGAGACACTAACTTTTGAAGAAGTTTTGATTTCCGTACCCGTCTGGATAAAGTCGTATTATTTTCTCACGATACGGCGCTTATCTCGGTCGGATAGTAATCAGGGTTCTTCCCAGAATCATATCCTGTAGCATCCTTGAGAAACTTGTTCGTTATGAAGCCACCCCGACAAATTCTAGCGTGAGCTGACACTTCAACAACTCCTGCGTCTCTTTTGCTAGGGTTTTCCTTTTACGGAAGTTCGACAGCGGTTTTGCCTTTGCTATAAGCTAAGGGACTTGAGTGGGTAATAATTTCAAAATTTGATTGGGTAAAAGCAAAATGCAGCAGAGAAACATGTGGTGGAACTATGATTTTGCGTCATAGGCAAGTCGGGTATTTTCGAAAAAATGAGGATAAAAATTTTTGCTTTCTCAAACTGGATTTCCGTGATAATATTCAGATTCGCATTTGCATGTGTCACAATTTGTCTGTAGAGCCCTTTTCAAAAACATCTCCAAATTCTAGTTTTTGGGAAATTTGTAGGTGGAACTAAGATTATGCGTCGCAGTGTATGTATTTGCACCACGGTATAACACTCATGAAATAATCGTAAAAAAACGCTTCGAACCTTCATTTTATACTTTGAAGAATTGTTAAAGACTGGTCAAGTACATGGGGATCGTCTATGAAGTTCTGTCATGAGATTTTTAATATTTCCTGCAATTAATTGTTTCCAGAATGGTATGATGATGAAGGTCAACTCATCCTCCATGCACACTCCTATTTCGACCACATTCCCCATCATGGATGTTCTTGGAAAGGAGCTCGATCTCAGTCCCAACTTTTTTGGTGTCAGAACGAATGGGACCGATGGCTCCATTGAGTTTTTGAAAGTCGTTGGTTTCCAACTGCGAGCCAATGCACCGTCGAACTGGACAAAATACGACGTACAGACGTATGAGCGACTGGTTTCGTCTTACCTTGATAAGTGGGTTTAAGTTTTTCTGCAGTTACTAGGATAAAGCTCAAACGATAATTTTACTGTTGATGAAATATTTCACATAGCAAGTGCTATTTGCAAAAACTTTCGCCCCGCCGGGATTCGTACCCGGATCTCTTGCTTTCCGGGCAATTGTGCTACCAGTTACACCACCGGGGCACCATTTCACCCCAACTCAGCTTCGATGGTGAAGTTACCATAGCTTATCAGCATTCACACGTATAACGTGATGAACCGGTAGGCCGATTTCGGCATTCGACCGCAAGGCCGAAAGCTTACTAGATGTTACCATTCTGACTTGTTTTTATTGGATAACTGATATGTTGATGAAATATGATAGAAGATATACCCAGTCCTTGTGGGGAAGGAACAGAAAAAGTCACGATACAAAGACGCGAAATGAGCTATCATTCCGGTCTGATTCTCAGAGTGTACAAGGTCGAGCAAGGCATAAAGGAAAATTTGAAATAGAACATTAAACTCCCAATATCGAGGATGCTATGCACTGCCCTTCTGTGCGTACGTCAGCCTGCAAAAAATGTGATTATTCTTGCAACGCGGGCTTGGAACGTGCAATCTACTGGAGCACAACTTAAAATTTGAATACGTATTCAAATAGCCAGAGCTCCTTCAGAGAATGAATTTCAGTTTGAAAGAGGATTAGGAAGTTTCTCGACAAGTATTTGCCAGATAGTACTTAATTTGTGGAAAACTGAAAAACGATCATTCGAAGTAATTCACGAGGAAGTTTTTTGGGATGCACGAGTTTTTGCAGTTTGAGAAACTATCACTTCCAACAAATGGAAATAATTTCAAAAGAAACAAAGACGCGCTGTTAACTGAAAGATTTGCTCTATTTGACTTGAAACGGTCAGTATGTCAAAAATGACAATGTCGATATTTTTGACGGAGTACCGCCAAGAGGATCTGCACTTCTTGAACCACTCTTTCAACGACGGAAGCTCCTTCCATGGACACATTCAAACAAAAATGAAACAGCTTTGGAATTCCAGTCTTTTTGCTTTCCGAAAATTGTGAACGTGTATTGCAAAAACAAGGCCTAACTTGAATGGTTCATGAAGTTGACCCTTAAAGGCAAACCCCGGGATTAACACGTTGACGACATCGCATGTTTTGGCATTTTGCACCTCGTGGGACAGGAGCGATTTTGCGACCGCGCCGTCCTCACCTTACTTACGCTTATTTTTTGTTAAAAATGCACAATAACTTGAATTTCATAGGACTATTTCGGCAAGGACGATCGCACAAAGGTTAAGTATATAAGTAGCAAAAGGTTTTCGTTTAGAAGAGCGCATAATAACCACGAAGAAGTAAAAAAAACATCACTTTCGCTGCGAATGAAATTAAAAGCATTTATATCTAAGTACTCCCATCAAATCAAATATATTGAAACTCACAGAGTTTTGTTTCAACTAACTCTAAAATCTTTCATAAGAATATTGACGGCAGTGAAAGTATTATTAAGAAAGAATCGGAACGAAAGTTTTGTGCGTTCGGAAAATCTTTGCTTAATCAAAAGATACTTGACCACTCTAGCTGCCAAGCGGTTTATACAGGGGTGGCCAAAAAAAAAGACACTCAGCCCATGGCGCACATCATCGAACTTTTCGTCACACAGGGAGCCGATGTTAATGAAAGTTTTATGGCGTTATATTCCTTAGTTGTTCCTCCGTAAACAGAAGCAAGCACTCCTTCACTGCCCCTGCCGTCTCCAGAATATGACGTCATCTGCCGTCACCGTCGAGCTCAACGAGGCTTACCGAAATCGCTCCGACCTGAAGCTGCTACACAATTTCCTCAGTGAATTAATTGTTGAATAGCTTCCAGAGACATTAGCTGTGAATGTGCAAAACCGCTTTTGACCTGCGTTTCAGAGACGTCGTAATCGTCTATGGTATCTCAACGACCTCGTTGAGATCGTACCGCGCACAATGCTTCCGTGGGAACGTAATTCGTAGGCTCGTAGAAGGCTGTGTGAGCTTGTGATAGACTATAACGTGCTCAAGTTCAAACATTGTTGGTTTCGCCGACGCGTGAATAATTCCGCTTTGAATGTTGAGTGAAGTGTCTCTTTTTTTTGGCCACCCCTGTAGTCATGCTAATGTATTATCTATAGAATGAATACAAGAAACCCGAGAGGAAGGAGCGCAAGCACGATAAAAGTGAGTAGCATAGACTTGACGCGCTTGCGCGTCAGAATGTCCGATGCGGTGCGAAATTCTTGACGCGCATGCGCGTCAGCTTGTCGTCAACGTGTTAAAACTGGTGCTAAGAGCGCTTCGTAGTGATAGCTTAGCTGCGCAGCGACCTGAAAGTGGAGAGGGAAGCGAGAAAATTCATTGGAAACTCTAAACTTAAAGCCTTAATCTTCAATATGTTTGATGTGGTACGATGGCGAGACAGGGTGATCAAAGAAGACCAAAAACACGTAATAGAGCACGTCGTTCGAGAGCACGCTGGTCTCGTCACCTCTCGCGGTGTGTGGAAAGCGTTGAAACCGGGGTCGATGGTTGTAGGCCCGTAAGGATTAGCGCCTTAACCGCGCAGTTTTTGCAACGAAGCTGAAGGGATCTTTATACTAGGTGGGTACAGACCGCACAATTTCTCTCTATCCTTCCCACTAAGTCGATCTAATCCCGGAGTTTGCCTTTAAGTAGTGGTTTCTTTCCGATCTGAGACATGAAGGGGATTCAGAGAGTATCGTTCGAATACTCCCTCATTCCTCTTCATGCCTCTCATTCTTATTGCAGAAAACGGAAACGAGGTGCAGGCGTTGTCTCACTAAGGGACGCGCCGTGAACATGACACCCACCGACATGCAATGCGAATCGGTTTTGCAGACAATCTCGAATGGCTACGGCTGCTGTGCTCACTGCTGATTTTGACGGGTACCCCCCAGGAGGCACGTCGCGCGGCAAAAAGGCAAAAGTCAGCGGACGAGTCGCGCGCGCATTACAGGGATTTCGTGTCAAGTTGACTGCAACTCGTCCGACGATTCTGCCTCCTTGCCACGCGACGGGCCTCCTGGGAGGTACCCGATACACTACGACCCTTGCTCCCTCTTAAGAGCTTGAAGCGCCCCTTCCCCCCCCCACCTCCACCTTCTGACGAGGATTCCTCAGTACACAGTGAACACGTGACCCTGCAGCCAACCTCCCAGAATCACCAGCCGGCTTTAGCAGTAGTGTTTGATGGTGACCATATTGTGACCACAGCCGCGATTCGCCAATATTTCGGGAGTTCCAAAATGATTTCAACTCGAATGATGCGATCGATATCTACTACTGTGTGAATGTGTTCCTTACGTGCAATTTTCAAGAAAGGGAAAACATATTCCTGGACTGCAGATTCGATTCTTCAGAGACATGTTATCCGACTTGCTCATCATCTACCCGTTCTCGCTGACATACACTTCAGATGAGATTGTTAAGACAGGTAGGCAACTTTTACCTAATTTCGAAACAAACATTTGACCTCAACCTAATCTGCACTTGAATTTCTAAGGAAGGGCAAGGAAGATACAGAATAGTGATGTAGAATTCAATGACATTTAGAGCTGTTACGTTCTTGGTCACCCACCGAATACGTTTGCACTTGTTGGAGAGAGCGCTCCACTGCTGATGGGTGGCTTGGAGTCCAGAGAGAAGAGCCTAAGATTCAAGCTTTCATATTATACGTTGTTGGGAAGAGAAGTGAATGTTTGGAAGGGGATTTCGGATTTCAAAAGGATGGAGGGTAGAAACTCGAGAAGTTTTGTGTACAATAGAATTTTTAGTACAATCTGACCCCTCCTTGTGTCCGATGGCTATGAAAATACGGAAAAGTCCCAAACAGTGATCAACCATCAGTCTTATAAAGCAAAATTCCGATCAATTAAGGTGCCGCCGAGCTGAATTCCACACACTCAGACTCTGTTGTCTTTCGCTTACAGATATACACGGCTAAGCTGAAATAACTGATACCTGCCTGTCTTCTATTTTCTATGAACATTCTCCACAAGGTGGGACTGAAGGACCTCAGAGAGAAGCAGAATTTGCCTTGGTTCACTTTCAAATGAAATTCGTCCCCATAATACTTTCTTCACTGGCTCTAACATCAGTAGATAGCGACTCCCAGCGCAAAGCTCTTTCACGTTCCAACAAGAACCCAGGAATGTGGGACGTGGAGGAGGTTGGGCTTTTGCTGTCAGAACTCCCGAATCGTTTGAGCTAGGCTACTGCTCCTTGTGGATTTGCTAGCACACTCCACCCAGTCCAGAACCCTGGTGAATATGCAGGATGATCACTGAAAGGAACTAAGGGAAATCAGAAGGAACATGATGATGTCAGATCGTGTTTGGAGCTGATTCGGGCTCAGAGCACGTGAGATACAAACTAAATATTTAAAATCTTTACGACTCTACGGAGATGTCTACATTCCATCATTTTAACAAGTCGATACGTTCTGAAAAATAGCAACTATTGTACTTCGTCCGAAATCAATCTCAGTGGCGCTGGGTAGAGCAAAGAGATTGCGTCGAGGGGTAGTTGGAGTGTGGGTTATCTTCACATACCGAATGGAGTGAATCACAGGTGCACCGTGGATTGAGGGAGCGTGCCCTCTCCCAGGAACAACCCTGTGTTGGTACGAGTGTCAGTGTATGGCCCATCAGGTGAAGGGTCGTGACCGTGGTGATCAGCAGTGAAAATCGATACCGTCTGCGAAATATACATCGGCGAATCAGAAGCACAACGCGGGCGCGGCGAACATCATGGCCGGGATCATTAGGACAAAGCGCTCTTCATTCGAATTATGTGAAAGAGACTGATTCGAAAGGATTCTGATGATTCTGAAGTGAATGAAACGCTAAAAATGCACTAGTATGAAGGGCGGACTTCTCGAAGTAAAAAAGTTCCACATAGAACCTTTTTTGGAGGAACTGGTTTTCACAAACGCTTAAGTAAACTTTTCAAAGCGGTTTTTCCA